GTGCTGTGGTGGTTCGAGCGGACAACTAGTGTTAAACGCCTACATAATGCGGCTATTACGACGGAGCTCAGCAGGCCGACGCAGTCGCTGGGTCCTTATGTGAGGGAGGACCAAAAGGAGTTGATGAAACCTCTGTTGGACTTCAGTGAGTTTTCAGAGATAATTTCGTGGCGCAGTGAAGCAGCTTTGATGGCAGATACGGTCGGTCTGGTCTCCTCTTTGCAGTATACATTCGCATCGTCATTTGTCGCGAAGTGGAGAGATGATTCGGTGAGAGAAGGCTTTTCTTGCAATCTTGCAATTCCTCAACGCCACACTAGGTCATCGAATGTATTCCAGCGAAGGCGGCAGCATCCTTATTAAAAGCTCTGACTCACGTTTTGGAGCCGGATCGAACTCTCCTGCGTTCCACTAGCAGACCCAGCTCGCCGGAGGTTCCAGCTAGCCGAGCGGTTGCTGACGATAGCAGTGGAGGTAGCCTCCTCGAGGTCCCGGGTTCGATTCCCAGCGCCGGCATTTCTAACGTGTTGAGATTAGATGTACACTGATGTGCTTCAGCGCCGATGTCAACGCCCCACCAGCCGTCAGCCCGCCGACCACCCGTGGTGTTGCCACCTCTCAGCGAGGTTGGGTCGGCCGAGTCGCCTCCTGCTATGAGTCGTGCTGCACCAACAGAAGAGGGAACGAAAGAGGCTGGTGGTGATCCTGAGAGTAACCCTGTGGAGGAGGAGGATGTCCGCCGAGCTGATGAATTCACGTCGGACATGGAGAAGTTCAGCGCAAATGGGAGTGGGTGGAAGGCTTATGCGGGTAAGCGGATGGCCCGGGTTCGATCCCTGGGAGGTGCATTTTTGTGGTAGATAAAGAAGAGGTGATAGCATGCAGTAAGGATGTTGCCAGTGATGTTATGGCTCGAGCGCTCGTCCTTGGGGAGAAGGGGAGGACCCAATCGATCAGCGCACAGACTCACATAGCGGATGTCTGCGTGAGACTCACTGGAAACAAGCTCATCAGACTGGGTAAGGGGTTGGTAATTTCGTGGCGCGTGACGATTCCCTTTAGGCCCTGTTCCAGAGGAGGCCGATAAGAGTCTTGATCTGGCTCGGCTGAATTGCCATCATATAGCTAGAGTTTGCTTGGATGCAGTGGTTGACGCGAATTCCTCAGAGAGGCTTATAAGTAGGTTATTCATCTTGGGCGGCCTTGGCAGTGATATCTGTTCCCGAATCAGAGATCGCGGCACACG